TTGATCGGCAAGGCTAAACAGCTCATGAACGCGCGCCAACCACACGACGGGTCCATCTGCATGGCACAGCGGGGTCCCACAAAATGGGGGTCGACCGCTCAGGTCTCTCATATGTAAGAGTAGCAAAAGAGTCACATGAGGAAGCAGCCAAAGAACACGCTTTCCACTTGCGTAAAAGGTGCCTAATCCGTACCTATGGTGTGTGATGTTGGACGTGTTCATGCGTGGTACGTATTTTTATGGTGAAATGATTGCTGGTGTGATATATTCAGAAATGCTTTACCACAGATTACGACGGTGGAGCATGTGGACATGCAGGTCGATACGGTGACGGTATATGCGCCGTCGGATCTGTTTCGAGCATCTACGAATCAGCCCCGAGGCCTGGGAGGGCCTCGTTTGGAATTGGCTGGCGTGGAGCGTTACCACTAGAAATGGTGCAGAAATCTTCGAAGACAGCCGAAAAATTGCCGCAATGATCGAGAAAGATGGTCGCACAATTCCACATCGCTACCCGTGGCCCAGCTCTCCACTCCGTCTCTGTTGACTGGAACAATCAAATAACGGTGAAGATGATGCTCACGGTGAAGCAAATGTCCTCCCTAAGAAGTACACTTGTGTGCCCCACATCGACAGTCATCCAGCTGTACTGCAGCCTATCTCACTCTTATCATGGAACAGCCAACACGTGTCAGTACCATGCAAACCCTGGTACTAAGGTTCTTCTTTGTTACTCTCCCTGTATTTTCACGTCTACACAGGAAAACAGGTCAGTCAGAGAATAGTGGTGACCGCAGTCTCTGGTCTCTTTGGTCTTGGTCGCACTTTGTGAGTCTGTGGTAATCAGATTCGGATACACTTTCTTGAGGATGCTGGGGTTCAAATTGTCGTGATCCCACCGACACCCGCAGACTTCTGCTGCCTTCACCCTGATCTTTATCCCATCTCGGGATCCGAGTCTCACAGATGCTACTCATGGGAAGCCTTATCTGACGCGGCATAGACAAGGAAGTCAAGACTTCGAAACAAGCCTGAATGGGTTGCCAATGGAATACATTTCAGCGTCACAGCAAGCCTCCACTGGACATTTTGTCACCCCAGATGCACGGATCAACAACGCTCATTTGGATATCGCAGCCCCCTAGTCTCCATTCAATGACGCCCCACATCTTATCTGCAGCGATTGGTACAACTGCTCGACCGAAGCCGATACTATCGTCAAAGTCTTTGCCAGTCGTTCTTTAGTCCTGTTCGGTGTCTCATTTATGGTTAAGACTGACGAAGGCGCCCAGTTCGCGTCCGCACTCTTCCGGCCATCCACAACGCCCTGGGTCGCTCATAGGTTCAGACGAGAACTTCTTACGTAGTCTAACTAAAAGTTCGAGTGCTTCAACCGTCAACTATAGAGCGCCCTGTATGCCGCCGCAGAGGACCCAACGAACTGGACGGATTACATGCCTATGACACTTTTTAGTAGTAGGGCGACATTCATTCGGACTTATACTGCAGCATAGCTGAATTGCTGTTCGGTGCCACCTTCCCACTGCCAGGTCAACTGATCTCTCACAGTGCCGACGAGGCTCCTTGCGGCTATATGCACCGGCTTCGACAGTTCCAGCACACACTGTCTCCCATCCCACCGCGAATACCATCAACCAGGCCTTATGTGGAAAGTGGTTTGGCTGACTGCACACACGTCTTTGTCCGGTGCGATCGCATGCACAAGTCACTGAAAATCGCCCTACAAGGGACTGTTCCAGGTAGTATCCTGAAATACAAGAGTCTACTAGATGCTTTGCAGTGACGAGGAGGACGGCGTCAGCGTTGTCCGAGTCCATGCAGTTGGTTCTAGGGAAGTCATCGGACCAACCTCATGGACAAATATGTGTTGACCACCCACTCCTTCTCGTTCTCCTTCGTGTTCCCTCGCTGTCCCCGAGCGCAACCAATCCAGTGCCAGCGACACCCGCACCGAGCGTATTGGTTGTTGAGTCCGCTTTCTCGAACGTTTGATTACTCGTGTTTTTGAGAGCACATTTATCCGTCAACGTCGTTTTCACACTGCCTCCGGTCTGGCTGTGGCCAATGTAGTGTCTACTTTGTTATATCTCTTATTCTTGTGCAAAAAATTCACAGTCCTCTCCCCTGGTATGCGTTTGACAAGTCTGTTTTGATCAAGTTTGTTTAAGTCGAGGTCGGTTAGTCCACCTAACATATTCTGTTTCGACTGTGCCAGAGCACGCGTAACTAATCAATAGCGCAATCTTCCTCGCATTTAGGGTTTTCTCTCAATGCACAACCAATGAAATCGACAGACCAGATGACGCGGCAGTCAATTTTGACTTGGTACGAATGGTGATTTTTATCTCGCGATCAGACTATCGATCATTGTCATTGGCCAAAACGCTATGTGAAGGAACTTCTAGAACCTGGCAGGATCTGTGACATAGCTGAGCAATAACTAAGTGTTTCCTTAATTACTGCTCATAAGACCGGTAGTATTGAGAAATTTCGCCTTTAGTGTTGGGATGAATTCTATTCCGCAAAGTCATATGGCGCAAAGCGCAATAAACAGGATCTGAGAAGTAATATAATTAGAATGAATGTCTGAAAAGTACCAGGTTTTTAATGTATAAAAGGCTGCTTTGGAGCATCCGTGTTCTCGGAAGCATGAGGCGAATGCGGCTGTCCTTCGAGTTAACCAGAGGAGTCGAATTTGGTTTTTCCGCGTGTTGCTTATTCGCGTTGTTGAGCTAGCGAAGGAATAAGTGATTTAATGTGAACTGCAATCTTTCTGGATGTCAGATAAAACACAAACTCACGAAAGATGTCATTAAGGAAAACCAAGCTCCCAGGGGTTATACTTCCATAAATATGGGCAGTTATTTTGACTGATTAGGCCTTGCCTTTGATTCTGTGTAGGCTGATAGAAATCGACTTGGTAAGGTTGTCCGGAACACCTCAACATAAGTGGGGACTAGGACTGTTTATGACATTTAAGATGGATCTTACGGCCCGAAGTGGCGGAGCTTTGGGGCCAACTCGTAGTGATTGCTGACAAATATTCTGTTGCGGTTTTTCTCTACCAGATGGGGACGTAACAGGTCCGATGGAGATAAAGCACAACTTTTGTGGAAAGCTCATCCCCATAGAACACTTTCCTTGTCCAGGATTGCTTGAACGTCAGTACAAAGCGCGGTTTGTCTTGATTAGGTTACAGTGGCTACCGAGGGCGTTTGCATCTGTGCTGACAGTATGTTATCACACTGTCCAGGGCAACATGCACGTAATTAGATGGGAGTTTGAATACGGGAGTAAACGCGGACGTAGCAATGATTGTGGCTGTACTTCATGTCCAACCGCAGTTATGTGCAGCTGAGGTGTGAGGAGAGTTCGGATGTTTCGCAGGGCGGGAAAAAATTTCATAAACCTCTTCCCAACTGCAGGCCTAATCAGTTTGGGCGTCAGAGAGCGGTCTTTCTGCGACCAATTCAACGTTTTCTCCACTCAGACTGTCGGTATAATATCAAACTCAGCGCATGACCGAAATACAAAGACTGCAAAAGTTTAGAATTCGACTTTCTTCAGGGTTGTTAGTGAGAATTGTGTTTCTCTTTTCGGCTGCTCAAATCACACACAGCAATTGCCTCACTCGTTTAATTCGACGCCTCACATCCACCCTGACAACAGAATTGATAGGATTTTGACCTTGAATGTGCCAACAGTTGAACATCTCATGGGATTATTTTAGTTTTCCTCACTTCAACAGTCATCTATTCCAATAGTGCGGGAAGTGGTAAGACGGTGCTACCGGGGTGGCAAAACCTTTTACTATCGGAAACAGGGTATGAGTAAATTTCAGACGTGAAGCTAGTCCGCACTCATTCCATCTGCGCACTTTAAATTCCCATATGATGGCAACTCCACTGGGCAACAAGATCAGGAAGTCCAGGGTCATCTTGCGCTAAGATACTAAAATATATCACCACATCATGCCTAAACGAGTGCAACCTTGGCACGAGACTGCCGGTAGTATGCTGGACTACGCCGTATCAGTCAAAGTTGCGCTGCCGTTTCGCAGCTCCTCTGGGCTTACTCAGACTGGACGCCAAAGCTTGACAGACACTGTCAATGTGCTGAGAGTATGTTTCACTCTGGGTGGATGTACCAACGACGCGCTATTTATAATAACACAGAATGATCACTCCTTTCAGAGGTGTCTAGTGACGAAATAGCAGGCGCAAGTCTGGACACTTCTGGGCTATTTGTTATTGTCAGTTGGTTGTAGTTACTAATTAAACGTGGGGGGTGGTCCTGGTGTTTAAACTGGAGTCAGTGGAATCATCCAAGTGTCAAGCTCTTGTCGCAAGCTATGTCGGCTCCAATTGAATATGGCTGTCCCGATTGGTCTCTTTTGCTCTAGATCTGAGACTGTGGTATGACTGGTCAGTGATGGTAGATAACGTGGGACATGACATTCCGTTTTTGTCAGAAAGGAGGAACTGCGGAGGACATGTGCTGTTCTTCACATACCATGTGCACGATTACTGAATAGAAAGCCAAAGTCTAACAATTGTGATCATAAGCCATTCAAATGACCAAAACTGCATGATGTTTTTGAAGTACGATAAGTAGGCCGGAAGTTGTGATAGATCTCAGACTGTTTATCTGGGAAAAGGTGTTGCAGAGAAAATGATTGGATTACTTTGACTGTGGAACTCTGAAATCTATGAAAGTTGCTTCCATCAGACGAGCAGCCGTGTGAGTTTAAGTTATGTGGCTCAAGAGAAGTCCTAAACTGATAACGAGAACTAATGAATTTTTAGTTGCTGCTTCCCCTTTGTCAGCCTAACCGACTGTTAGCCATTCCATAGTAACATTCACGAAAAAATAGCTTCTGAAACCATGGTGGTGGTGAGCTCATCTGTCCAGATGTGCCGCGAACAGTCAAGCGACTCTTTACCTGCTCAAGAAGGTTCCCGTGAGGCTTGGATGTCAGTCTAGTCTCCTGTAGCCTCTTTCCTCTCTATTGCTTTAAGAGGCCTCCTCTCGCCCATAGGGGCCTGCCTGAGATCTTGCCGAAAGAGGTTCTTGTGAGCCATTACATGTTCAACAATGATGCGATCCCGAACGCTGCCAAAGACTGTATCCTTTCGGAAGATCATCAATACCACGGGCGCGATCAGGAGATTATAGAAAGGCTGAGTGCTTTCCACCAGAGCCTCCAGTTCTCTGCTAAAAGTCGGTATGAAGATACGCAGGTAGAAGTCTGTAGTCATTTGTTTGCGACCAAATCCCACATTGTAGAAGGTGCCGCAATGAAGACCCAGGAACTGGGTCGTATCGACACCCATCAGACGGAAAACTTTATGTACTTTGGCCTCACGGAAAAGCTTCGCTGAAAGACTTTCTGAAATGTGTCCTCCAGCGATGCCCATGCGTTCTCGGGCAGCACCGATGACAGCCTTCATGCCACAGGTTAGCAAGTAGCGGTCGTGCAGCAAGCGCTCGCATGCCGTGCGCTCGAAGTCAGACCGAAAATGCAATTTGAATAGGTGTTCCGGGTCCTTCAGCAGGTCTAGCACCTTCTTCAATGACATGCTCCGAGGTCGAAGTCTTGGAGAGTTGGTCATTGCTGTGGGCATCATGCTCTCATGAGAATCGATAAATCATTGTTTAAACTGCTGGTGACGTGTTTAACCTATTGTGTACTGCGAAAACTCGTGGGGATGCTAATTTGTTCATCGGTTGGGATATTGTCTACTTTCAGACATTTAAAAGGAGTCGTTTGTAGGGTTTCATTCGACCCATGGACCTAAGCGCGATGGGACGAGAGCACTTGTCTCCCCTCTTGATTTGTAGTGGTTGTTTACAATTTTATTGCTGGATTTTCACAACATGATGCAGGGGACTTGACATCCCCGAGTGCCGGGCTACTTGTTTCCCTACGCCTGGTATACTCTTGTTGGCAGTTGGTCAATTCGTCATTGCAGCATGTGGTGTGGTGTCGAATGCGTTGTATGCCCTCTGCCGCCTTTAAATACGAATAACCTTATGTGTTGCCCGTTTCTTAGCTGCCTCCAAATCCTTTAATGTCTCCTTTTGATCTTTTATTTTGACACAACCCCGGTGAGATTCGAAACCATGAGAACAAGTTGGTAGGTTTGAGTACAGCCAATGCTCTAGCTAACTCTCTGAGAGCCGTGAGTTTAATGAAATTTGGGTTAAGTAGTTGTCCTGTGTGAAAAAGCTTTTTCTTTTACACAGTGATGTACAGTGCGTGACCTATCTAATGAAATGTTGTCTGAAATTCTGAAATGCGTTTTCGATTAGGAAGGATTACTTGGTCGCGATTGCGATACTGATTATCTTAAGGCATGCTCTTATAACATTTTGGACTCCGCTGGATGTCGGCTTTTAAATGCACTTCCTTTCAATCTCCTGTAGATAGGGTGCTCGATAAAAAATGACTACTTACTTAGCATGCATTTTTCCCATTGATTATCTTTGGTCTTGGAAATTCAGATATAGTTTATAGAAACCACAAACAAAAATATGCTTTCTTTTAGTCTATCAATGGAGGATCATGTCTGCTTTATATTTTATACTTAAGGAAGGAGATAATTAGGTTTTAAAAAGTTTCTAATTATGAGACTTTTTAAGATCGCGATATGTCCATTCACATAGCATCGTACCTGGCCGTTTTCCACTGCTCCTCATGAAATGTACAACATGGTCCGCATCCATTGCAAAATTTTATGGACTCTGTAAGATATCCATTTAATGACATAGAAAAATATGGGATTTTCTCTACGCGAAACGCATGCACCTTTTAGAGTGTAATCACTAAGCGCTAATTCAACGAATGATCAGGCTCCAAACTTTTCGGCAATTAGAAAACTTTTTTTAAAACCTAACTATACTTCTTCCTTAAGTATAAAATATAAAGAAGAAGTGATTCTCTATTGATTGACTAAAAGAAAGCACATTTTTGTTTGTGGTTTCTATAAAATATATTTGAATTTCCAAGACCATCGAAAATCAATGAGAAAAACGCATGCTAATTAAGTAGCCATTTTTTACCGAGCACGCTTTCTACAGGAGATTGAAAAGAAGTGCATTTAAAAGCCGACATCCAGCGGAGTCCAAAATGTTATAAGAGTATGCCTTAAGATAATCAGTATCACAATCGCGACCAAGTAATCCTTCCTAATCGAAAACGCATTTCAGAATTTCAGCCAACATTTCGTGAGATAGGTCACGCACTGTAAGCTAATGGCAGATGCTAGGTGCGGGTTGAGAAATTATGCATAAGAATCAGGTCTCTTGGGTGGGCTCATCCGCTTTCACAATTTCGCGCGTTGGATACGCGTATTGTTTTGGATCCCAGGTGGTATCATTATGAACTTCTAATTGAAGGCCAACAAACATACGATCAGACGTTCTGTAATCTTGACTTCGAGCACTCGAGTTACCAGTATGTGATTTCGATTTATGACGGCGCGAGGTCAGGTGTACGTAACTATGCATTCTCCTCCTCCTCCTCCTCCTCCTCCTCCTCCTCCTCCTCCTCCTCATTTGGGTCTTAATCCAGACCCAGTGGAGAACAGACTCCGTGTTGTCACCAAGCCTTCTAAGCCAGCAAATGTATTTTAAAGACGTACGTTCGAGAGGGTTCTACTTAATTGTCCGGAAGTACTCTGACTGCCGACATGCAGTTCGTCACGTGGTGGACATGCACGAAAAACACCCGAACCATGCACTGACCGGAGTGTTTCATCCAATTCCGTGTGTTTTATGATCGCGTGTCATACACTGCATCAGAAAGCACCGTCCTGATACGTGTATTCTCGCATAGCACATCTCGCAACGCTGGCGCACTGCATTGGCCTGTGGAAAGACGCTCTCTTCTATCAGTCTCTTGGTCCCTTCCTTCTCCATGCACCAGGCGTCTTGCGGAGCCTATGGGACGGCTTGGGATGTCGTTTGGTTGCATTCCCTGACATCGCCTGCTTGCGTAATACATGCTGTTCTGCTGACCGCTTGTGACCATATAGGTCAATGCATAGCCTAGTATGCTTTTGATGTGTGTGTATAATTGGTTGATGTAGGGGAGACGTGGGCTCTGTTGTCTTGCTGAATGTTTAAATGTGCCAGTCCTCCATTTCGCAGTCTCAGCTGGTCCACCTATACCTATCTGGTACTTTTTGTTTTTATCATAGATCACACATGATCTCTTATAGTGTCTCCGCAAGTGGCGTCCAACCTTTCATAGACAAGGGGAGTCTTGGCAGTCGAACATCATGGCAGCAAGCCTGCCGAAGTCAATTTAAGACTTCCTCTTGGACATAGATTGGATTAACCCGAACTTCTGCAACTAACTTCCAGCGCTCTGTCCGAAGTTGCAATGGGCAAGCCAGTTATTACGTTAAAAACCGCCTTCATTCAAATCGCCCAAAGAAGTGTGCTGGCTTGACACTAGGTAATTTTTCACAGTATCCATTCTAGTGAACAACCTAGAGATAGAGGTAGAGAGAGCGAAAAAAGTAAAAAATTGCGAGGGATCGCAGCGGTTTAGTGCTCCCCATCTGGGCACACATTTTAAAATATGTCGAGGAGTGCGTAGCCCGATCAAAATAATTCCATTGGTTCATCACGGGCAGGGAGGGAAAGGAAAAGGGTATAGGCGGGAAAGTTCACAGTCGAGGTTGAAATGATTAATTTCGAACAAAATCACCAAACCGAGATACATGCTGGTGGTAGTCAATAACAGCAAAACAGTGTTTCTATCCACTTGTATTTAATTTTCATTAGTACCACTTTCCTTATGATGACGAGAGGTCTAAACCGAAAATAGGAATTCATATGTATTGGCTTAGTATTCTTACGCGCACAATGCGTGCAATGGCAGCTGCTCGACTACTTCTAGCTTCTAGAATGGAGGCCGATGACTGCTCATCTCCATAGTTAGAGGAAGTATGCGCCAGCCCACCTTACTTGTCTACTTCCACAACCACCGGTTGGCATCGACAAAGAAGGCATTTGGACTTCTTGTACTATCGTAAAAGGGCTCTTTTTGTAGAAGTGCCGATATGATCGTGCTATGTCGTGGGAAAATCTATAAAACAGGTACCGCCTATTTAGCTATTTCCGTAGTTTGTGCGGACTTGTAATTGGTGACAGGTGTGTTGGCGTTATGGCTAAAGCAGCGCAAGTGTACGCCTGATTCTGATATCCCCGGCACATTTGGATAACCGTCTATTGCGACTCCTCACTGATAAGCAACTATTCTTAAGGAATCTAAAGGCAGCAGTACATTGAACGGGAAGAGGGTGTTTAGGAGAGGAGATAGGGGAAGACATGAGATGAGCAAAGCGCAGCATGGACTGTATTGTTTCTTATGACTGCGGGCTAAAATACTCGCGTCAGGTTTCTTAAGGAGCTTTTGAAACCACGCCCTTCACACAGAGAGACGAAATATTTCGCAAACATCGAGCACGTCATTACGGTAATTACATTTCATGGCAACTACTTCCAATGTGAATCCTGCATCTACCAACCCAGTGGTCTCATTAAGGTCCCGAGCAACTTGATGGGATACCCGTGGCGGTGAAGTGTGTGTGACTACGCTGGAGAAAGCAACTGATATTTGCACCCTGTATCGTGTTGACTACGCCCTACGTGCATGCATCAAGCCAACCCAAGGGCGGGAAGTCCGAACCAACTGGCGCGTTTTGTCTGTGGCTTATTTCAGGACGACCAGACAAACGTGCTTGGTTGACGCTAAATCCTTCTCCAGTGTCCATTCTAATGAGCAATGTGAACAGAAAACACTGTGGCGGTCTGATTCCGACTTTAGGAGTTGACTTTTTGCAACGTTAATGTAGGTGCTTGATCTAACAAAAGTACTTTAAAAGGGCTCGAGTAGGGGCAAGGAAGGGGAGTAAAACGATGTCGGCAACAGAACTCAATATGTCAGTTAATGCCAAACAAGACGATGGACTTGCTGGTGATCAATAATAGCAGTAAAATAAACGCCTCTGCACACCTTTGTGGCAAAGTGATTTCCTTCCAGCGAGACAAATTATTGGTACTGCTTGACACTGTGTACATAGGGTTCAGTGCGTCCGAAAGGAAAAGAAGGAAAAGCGAGCGCATCGTCAAGTGCACAAGCGCACTCGGCGATCAGATCTGAGACTTCGACGTCTGTCTAAAGTTAGCAGCCTAAAGTGGCATCCCCTTTACAAGAGGGGCTATCAATCCCCTCTCCGACACGGACGCTGCCCCACGAGGAGGGCGCGTCCGTGACTTGGGCACGACCTTGCTTATAAGGCAACCAACTTGCACTAGATCTGTCCCATACTCTCCTCCCTTGCCTAGCGTGTTTCATTTACGGAACAGAGCTCAGTTAGCCGGAGGTGGACGTGAGGAAGTGGTCGAAAAGGCTGAAAAATACACGCAAGCGTACTGCAGACGATGCGGTTCCTAAGTTCGCGCACATCTGGCCTCGTGTTGGGAGCGAATGGACTCGGATCTTGTAGAAGTGACAGTGTCATAGAGGTCACGTTAAGGAGCGGCCGTTGGGAAGTGACATTCATTCCAAAGGGGGATCGGGCTATTCCCCCAGCTGCCTGTCCTCCAAGCAATG